GTTCTCTGTATTTAACCCATCACACCTGAGATACACCCAGGTGGAGCAGTGAGCAGCTAAGTAAGCGTCCGGGAGCAATTACAGATTAGATGTCTTGCTTAAGGACGCCACGACATGTGGGCATGGTGGGGAGTCGAACCGTGAATTTTTGGTCTTAAGTCAGCTGCCCTACCTCTACACCATCTCGGACCCCACATATATCCAGCAGAGGGCGCATGCGGACTACTTTCAAGTCATGGCCGCCCACTTCAACTTTCACTTTCAGCACAGCTGAAGCAGCGAGCAATACTATGTAGTGTATTTTGCTGAACAGAGCATGGCAAGTTTAACTTATCTGTAAAATTAAAAAAAATCAACAATAAATTCTATTAAATCCGCCAAACCTCGTCATTAGCTATGTGCCTCTCAAGTTAGCAAGCTAACATTTAGATAATCTAGCATAGGGTATTGCCTCTGCCTTTAACCAAAACAATAAATCTAATGTAGACGTAAAACATATCAGTGTTCATAAGATTATCTTTGTCGTCCTCCATGAAATGCAGTTTGTCTGAAATCTTTACTTCTTTGCAAAGAAAAAAAAATGCTGCTGCGACCAATACTAATTAGACCTTCACCATATGCAGCGTTTCCCCTACCATTATACAAGTGGGACGACCCACCCTATCAACAGAACCAAGCGCCACGTCTACAGAACCACACACACACCCCTTCCCCCACCTGTCGGCACTGACGTAATGCTAAGCTAGTGGCTCGCAGTACAGGTGCGCTAGCTAAAACGCTAAATGCAGCATCTTTCCTCATGCTGAACCCTTCTTCTCAAAAATGTGTCTGTCCCCTCCCACCGACAAAAATCACAGACAAGATGAGCGTCCCGCCATAGCAAGTTATCTAGGGGAAACATTGATACGTGACTGACTGTTGAAACAATGAACAAGGATGGGTGTTTCTTTGTTTAATTTATATTTTTGTAACACACTTGATAACTTTACGGTGAATAATCGAGGATAGAAAATGTGAACACAAGTTAGCAAGACTGTTTCAAGACTTCAAATGTTAAAACACGTTTAAAAGTTGCTGTTTACTTAGATTGTTGGGGGTGGACAAAGCTTAAAAATTTTCAGCCCTATCGGCATTAGTCCCCCGCCTCAATATTGTTATCGGCAATAGCCAAAATTTCCATATCGGTCAGGCTCTAATATATACAAATGTATAAACAATTAAATGCAAGGTAATAATAAGGAAAGACCAAATCTCACCATCAAGTTTAGGAACACTCAGGGTTTCCAGCTGTGGTTCCCTCTCTTCTGTTAAATCGGTTTCTTCATCCTCTTCAGTGCTTCTTTCCTCCTCATTCTCCTCCTCCTTGCTCTCTTCCATCTCCCCATCTTCTGGTGGTAGAACTTCTGGTTCATTAGACTCGGGCTGGGAGTGAGGGGTTACCACAGATGGCTGTGGACTAAGTGTGGGAGGCTGCAATGTGGGGGTAAGAGGAGCCTGAATAGATTGAGGAGGTGAAGGAGGTGGTAGAGGAGTCTGGATGTTTGAGGTTAGTTGAGGAGTGTCATAAAGAGCAGAAATGGCTGAGGAGATGCTCTTCTGAAGGTCCTGATTCTTTCCAACTGAATCCTCCTCATCAGAGGAGAAAGATGGCAAAGTCTCCAGGTTCCTCTTTAGCTCATCTTCTAAGCGCTTGGGACTGGGACAGTTGCCCAGGGCCAAACCCCCGCTGCCTTCACCATCCCCAAATGGAGGCGGTGGTGGTGGGGGAGGAGGTGCTGGAGACAGTGGGCGCAGACCCCCTGATTTACAGGGAGATGTTTCACCATTGTCAGGTTCCATTCCTGGTGAGATGTCCAACCCTGGGGGTCTCTTCCCTGACTTGAGGAAGTCCAAGAATGAAGCAACAAACCCAGCTTTAGACTCAGAATCTTTCTCATCCCCCTGAAAGAAGCACAAGAGAGATCATGACTCAGCTATAGATTTGAACTCTACAAGCTATAACCATTTAAATCTGTTTCATGCAAATATGTCTATTGTGCTTAACAGAGAAAGAAATTTCATCATCTAGCCTTTACCCTTTCGTCCAATCCCTCTTCATCCATTCCGTCACTTATCATCTGGCTTTTCTGTTTGTTCTTGTCCTGGCTTCTAGCGCTCTCAGTGCTGCAAGGGGGTCCAGGACTTAAACCAAGTGAGGGAGCTGAGCCAACGGAACCGTCTGACAAAGCAGGGTCGGTGCCAGACAAAGAGTCTGTCCTCAGTAAGGCGTCAGAGGAGGGCAGAGTACCAACTGGCAACTTGATCTGGAAGAAAACAAAGCAAAACAGAGCAATTCATCTAATAAGGATCTAAGAAATTCCTATATTTAGATGAGCAGAATCATAAACAGGATAAACAGGTTGAGTCTTACACCAAGTGTGATAAATAGGTAATCAGAATGAGAGGAAGTGCAGTTATATATCAGTGAACAAAATAAACAGCAGTCCTGCAAAGCGACTAAAAAAACGTTTGATCAACTTGTAGGCAGCTTCCATATATGCAACAACCGAATTTCTGCAGTGCCACCTTCATTTTTCTGTTCATTTTAACTTCATCACATTCAGACTTGCGTTTTATTTTCTCCTTCATTGAATGTCACTGACCTTGAGAGGTGGGATGGGCTCATGCTGCTGCTGTTGAGGCTGATGATGGAGCTGCTGTGACTGCTGCTGATGGAGATGATGTGCATGCATCTGATCCTGCTCCTTCCCGCTCATTTCCATGTACATATCCTCCCTCCTTCCTCCTCTTCCTCGACTTCCGCGGCCTCTACCCCTGCCTCGTCCTTCCACGTTGAACCCGGCTCCAACTGTTGATCCAGCCATATCAGACATCATGCCTCGTGGAGTGTAGGGCTCAGGCATAGGGCGGATACGAGGTCTGCCTCTTGGCCTAGGGGGACCTTCTCTTTTTGGCCTAGTGGGCTTTCGGCCTCGTTTTTTAGGCCCATCCGGAGGCAGGATAGAGTGTGAACCCATGGAGGAGTAGCTAGAAGTGTGGTAAAAATCAATGTCACCCATTAAAGGGCTGAGTGATCCACCTCCTCCCTTTCTACAGCTGGACACTAAATCTGGTAAAAGGTCAGGCAGTCGGCGGCTGTTCAACCTGATATCAGCAGGCTGGTCAGCTTTATCCTCATCATCCTCAAACTCATATTCTTGAGCGTAACTTTTCTTAGGCAGTGTGTTGGGGTCCCTGCGTTCTTTCAGCAAATGGAAAGAGCTGGATTTGAGGAGCTTTTTAGGACGAGATGAGCAAAAAATTGGAGACTGAAGGCCTCCAGAACCTGTTCCTGAGCCAGTTCCTCCAGGACCTGAGGACAGTTTAGCTTCAGAGTTGTTTGGACCAGCTGAATTGGAGCCCATACCCATAGCTGGGGCCTGGGACTGTATCAAGCCTAACTGTTCTGTGTTGACAGTGGAAGGAAGCTCATGTGTTTTAAGAGAGTCCAGATCCAAAGTCATAGTGTTGTTGCTGGATTCTTCCAGACCATGACAGTATTGTTCATAAGCCTGATCTCCACCATGGTGGCCCATTATATCGTAGCTCGGTCCACCACTACCTCCAGCTCCTGCTGCATTTTGTCCAGCTTTTAGTGAATCCATTCCTTCTTGCCCAGGGTGGCCTTCATTCATCTCCTCCTGCCCAGGTCCTGCACCACCAGCACAGCTTGATTTGTAGTCTTCAGCACAAAACATGTCTTCCATTCCTGGGAAAAAGGAGCGGTCCTCATCTTGAAGGAGGGAGTCAGGGAAGCAGATAGAAGTTAAAGGTACAAACCGATTGCTTTGCGGATTTTGGTCCGCTTTCTCTACTGGACTGACTGTGTCAAACTGGTGCTGTTCTGAGCGCTGTTGGTCCAGCTGGCTCTGTTGAGGAGGGAGCTGGCTTGAGAGTGGTTGCTGTGGGTCAGGCTGAGACTGGGGGTGAGTTGATGCAGAAGGTGGAGGTATATGGTGAGGATGAGAAGGCTGCTGCTGAGGGTGGGGTTGAGTGTGAGGGTGATGGGAGTGGGTTTGTTGGTGCTGAGAGGTTGGGTGCTGTTGCTGCTGCTGTGCGTGATGTTGTGAAAGGTGGTGCATGTGAGACTGGGCGGACAAGCCGATATCGGGCTCTGAGAGGAAAGAATGGAGTTCGGGGGCTGAGTGTTGCTGTGAGTGGTGGGTTTGCTGTGGCTGATGGTGGGAAGCGTGTTGCCTCTGTGGCTCCTGCTGCGGTTGTCTGTGACGCTCAGTGCTACCGCCACTCCTCCCTGCACTGCCTGGTCCACCATGTCTGTCTTCTGCAACACCAACATCGGAGCTTGAGGTCTGAGAAAGGGAGCGCTCCAGCATGTCCAACGAGGAGACAACTGAGCTTTGTTTGACCTGGCTCTGGTCGTGCTGATGTGGACCATGATTGTAATGAGCTGCTGCCACTTCCAAAGCTTGAGACTGCAGCTGAAGCTGGAGCTGGGTGGCTTGGGACTGAGACTGAGCCTGATGTTTACTTGATCCAAGCCTCCCACCAGCTCCTTCCATCACAGCTTGTTGCTGGCCAATAGAGTGCTGCTGCTGTTGGGGATGAGAGTCCATTTTATGGTGCTGCTGATGCTGAGGGTGGGAGTCCATTTTTGAATGTGGCTGATGTGTTGGGTGAGAATCCATTTTGTGATGCTGTTGGTGTTGATGATGAGAGTCCATCTTGTGGTGTGGCTGATGTGGCTCCAGTTTGTTCCGGGTGGTGTGAGACAGCACAGACTGCAGCAGGTGTGGTGGCTGACAAGACTGATCCGTGGGGGAGTCCAGGAGGGACACGGCAGCCTGAGACTGAGAATGCTGCTGTTGGAGTTCCGGTGTTTTCCGAGGATATGGGATCTCTTGTGTGCGCTCCTGTGGCTTCTTCTGAAGCTCCATTTGAGTGTGAGGTGGCATCTGCGAGTGTGAGGACACGTGTTGGCTATGTGATGAGTGCTGAGAAGCAAGGGAGTGCTGGGAGTAAGGGTCACCCCGACCATAGTGAACAACAGAGCCAAGGTTGTCATGGTGATGGAGGTGGGAATGTACCTGTTCCGTGCTGCTTCTCCCACCACTGCTTCTGCTGCCCCCAACAGATCTGTCATTTCTTTGTGGCTGTTGAAGGTGGTGCTGTTGATGCTGCTGTTTCTTTAGTGACATCTCTAGCTGGTTCTCCAGCCCAGAAATGGACGCCGCAGAACCTGCATTTCCTACCCCAGCATTGGACGTGGCACTGTGGGTACGTATAACGCTCTGGGGGTGGTACCTCTCCTCAGAAGTCTTGCCCATGTCATAACTCATCCCTTTGTTTGAGTCACTGGTTGGGGGTACTGACTGGGGCTGGGGCTGTGTTTGCTGAGATGTCTGTTGTGGCTGTTGCTGTGCATGGTGATGAGAAGCCTGAGGAGCAGGGCTCGCTTGAGCTTGAAGCAGGTGCTGAATCAAGAACTCCTCATCATCATCCACTTCCTCTTGAGATCTCTGAGAGCCCACTCCTAACATGGAAGTGTCTGCCTTTGATTTAGACGAGTTAGAATGATATGGTTGAGGTTGGGAGGTGGGGCCCCTGGTGTCTGGAAAGCCTTGTGGGGAGGCTAGGAAAGTGGGTGAAAGAACTGAGGAAATGTATTTATTTGAGCCTGCGCCTCCTGGAGACTGAGTGGGGCAAGTGGGAACTGGAGAGTGCAACCCTGGACGAATGATGCCAGAGTTGCCGGAAGGGGAAGGGCTGGAGTCTGGAATATGAAAAGAGCCTCCACCACTACCACCTCCGCCTCTTTCATTGGTCAAACCATTTCCAGCTCCACCTCCTGACCCAGAGTTTCCACTCCCTGTGCCGCTGCTGCTTCCTCCGCCAGATGCTCCACTACCTGATGAACCACTTGATCTTAAAAGAGCAGGTGAGTGGCCTGGAGCTCCATAGCCTAATGACGGGCTGCCAGCTCCACCTAGAGAAGATGGAAGTGATCCATAAGCAGAATCAGCTCCATATATATCAGTGGAATATGAATGGCTTCGCCCTAAACTCCCATAGCCTTTTCCACCTGTACCAGAGCTCAAGTCTTGAGCTTGAGGTGAATTAAAGCCTCCATAAGACTGTGCCAGGTGGGATGTTGGGGGCTGGTTAGGAGAATAGGATTGTGTTTGCTGTTGGGGTGGAGTCTGACCAGTAAGAGCAGAGGTAGGGGTCTTCACTGGGGGCACAGGAGAACCATAGCCAGAGAGGCAAGATTTGGGGAGAGACTGTGGAGCTGAAGTGGATGTGGCAGGGGGCTGTTGCTGCTGAGGAGTAGGAGGAGGTTGAGCTGCTTGAGGAGGCGGCTGCTGCCTAGAAGGAGCTGCACTCGAGCTGGAGGTGGGAATCGAGTTAGAAGGATGAGCACCGGAAGTGGCTGAAGAAGAAGATGAAGAAGAAGAGGTAGAGGAAGCTGATGGAGGGGTGTGAGGAGTTCTTGAGGATGATGCAGAACTACCAGAGGAATAGCCACTACTAGAACTACTTTTGGTACCTTTCCCAGCTGAGGAAGAAGAGGAGGAAGAGGAGGAATAGGGAGGTTGAATGATTGGCCGATACTGCTCAGTGCGAGTGGTGGGCTTACGATCAGATGAGGGGCTCTGGTCACCTAATGGGCTGCAAGAAAGGCTGGCATGCCTGTGGTGGGTGGCGATTTGTTGATACCCTGCCCCTCCACAGCTGAGATAGTGCTGAAGAGAGTGAGCAGCTGAGGATGAGAGCTGTGACTGAGACGGCGTTGGGCGCTGGTAGTGCTTAATAACGCTGTCCTGCCGGGGCACGGCCCGTTCTTGAGCCGAGTTAGACTGGGACTGAGACTGGGGTTGGGCTGAAGAAAATACTGATGAATTATACAGCTGGGAGGACTGGTCCTGCAGCTGAGATGACAGCAGATTGAACTGGTGCGACTGCAGATGTCTGGCAGAAGACGCCTGGGCAGACGTTGCACCCGTGGGATCCTGGCTGCCCCTGTAAGCAGCAGCACCTTGTGAGGAAAGGAGTCTATCAAAACCCAGACTTGACTGCGAAGGGGCTTTGATGTGTATTAGAGGATCATGTGGTGAGAGCAGACCATTGGATGTGGGACTAAATGTGGGTGTGTCTTGGAGGGAAAGGGAGGCAGCAGGGAAAGAGCGGCTGGAGAAAGATGCTGGATGTTGATATGCCGATAGAGCTGAAGAGGAAGGGAAAGATCCAGAGCCAGGAAGGGCTCCAGAGATGAAGAGCTCAGGAGGAGCAGGTGTGTGCATCGCTGTAAGGACAAAGAAAAAACAAAATCAGTAATCCACAGCTTTTAATTTATATCATAAATAAAAAAATATAAAAAAGTAATATCAAAAAATAAAATTACATACCTATAAATGACTAATAAAAATGCTCCCATACTAACAGTCAGAATAATAATTTAGACAAGCAGTGGGTGGTTTTTTTTTATGTCATATTGACATTGGGTCTGTTTGAATGTCAACGCATCAGGGAGGATTCAACATAGCCCCACCTGTCTGCCAGGATGGCGTGCGGAACTGAGAAAGAAGGGAAGAGGCGGAGGGTGGAGGTTGGGGACCTCGGGACTCCAGGGCTGAGATCAGATTCATGACCGAGGCATCAGGAGCTGAGGGGCTGGCATGGTGCAGGCCTGTGTCAAAAAGCCCCGAAAGACCTTTGAGAAACAATCACACAGAGAAAAAAATAAATAAATAAATTTAACTGAAAATACAAAAATTACATGAGAGTTTAGCAAATATGCATTAAACAAGAAGCATTAAAGATGGTACTGATTTTCCGAAAAGCAAAATTAATCTGGAAAACCAGCAGTAACGCATCTAAAGCACAATGTCAAAGGGTAAAAGCCAACCTGTAAATATATTTACCCTGCTGTTGAATACACAAGCTGTTTCAAGAACAGTTTTAAGAGACAAATTCAGGTTTTGGCATCTGCTGCGTTGACTGAAATGAGCTATAAAGTGCGCATTTTTCAGTAAAGACAATATTCCAGGACCTGCCCGGACAGACAATAATTCACTGCCAGGGCCCCCGATGGTGGTGACATGGAAGGTATGACATTTATCTTACCCAAACTCCGTCCAGCTGCTCCCCAAGCCCCGCCTTGGCCAGAGCTCCCTGGGTGGTGATTGGTAGCATAGCCCTGCAGAGGGTGTGGGGTGGCGTAGGCTTGTCTGTGAAGGAGCTCAGACTCAGGGTGGGATGATCTGGAACTCCCATAGACAAGACTAGGAAAGAAAAAGGGTAAGGGATGGGGTGGTGTGTGTAAGTGTCATTAATCTTAGAGTATATTAACATAATTCTAATCTGTTCCTAAAATGTGGCCCTTCAAAAGACTAGCTGATTAACACAAAGCATCTGATGTGGAAGCAAATTGTACTTTAATTAAAATAATCCATGCATCAGATTCCAACATGAGGTTAGTAGTTTGGTCTCCAAATTAAATTTAAATATTCTTATGAAGTAATAAAACACACATGGAGGCAATTTAATAATGAATTAATACAATTAGACTGTTTATTCCAGTGTGTATTCAGTCTGTGAATCCAGCTTAATCATGTCTTTAAATAAAAAAAAAGGGATTAATTTGCAATTAATAAATCGGAAATTAAAGAGCCATCCGTCACATATTTGGAAATTATTTTAATAAATGTTTTATCAGGAAGGATTTCCAATTGCATCGTTTTTGCTTGAGAAAAATCCAGATAAATGCGTGGCTGCTTGTTCAGATTCGTGTTAGCATTTATGCTGCTGATAGCATCGTTTAGCAGCAGAAAAGCAAGAGACGAGGCCCGAACTGCGAGGCCAGTGTTACGTATAAATATAACACAGGCAACCGAAAGGCATCATTGGACCAAAGAGATCGACACATTTCCCTCAAATCGAAACAAGCAGTTAGCATACCCGTGACCACTAATTATGATGATGTAGCTAACAACTGAATGATGCATGTCGACGCAAATGCACGCCGAGCTGCAGGCCAGCAAATAGCCCGGTTTGTTCATCCAAAATGAGGCTGATCAGTGCTTCTTGGCTTTTAGACAGAACTAGGAAATTAAAAACGCCTTTTTTTTTTTTTTTTGCTGAATTGTTTTATGTGCAGGAGCAGAGAGTAGATATTAATGTGCACAGGCCTCACTCAGCAGCGCTAGCTCCCAGGCTAAAGCTAACATGTAGCGCTGCAGCTCAGTTCAGCCACTTCACCTTCCTGTGCTGTGGTTTTAGCTTTTATTTGGCACAAACGGCAAATTGCACCTTTCGACACGGGGGGGGGGGGGGATTTGTCATGGCTGTATTATGCAAATGCGCATAAAATCCATCCAAAAAAAAAAAAAAAAGCCCACCACGAATGAGCACAAAAATACGTTCAAAAATTAATGAGTGCAGCTTCTACATCTTTTTAGCTTACAAGTGTAATTAAATGCAACCCCCTCGGTTAATATGCATCAGTTTATCTTGTTGATGTCTGTCAGGGGGGGCTGATGTGTGCGTGAGAGAGAAAGGGGGGCTTTGCTGCGTCTGCACTCCTATCATGAATCCTATGAATTTATCTCCCAGGGTCTGCTTCCAGGCCTGCACACAGGGAACAATCATTCCAATGGTCACCCAGACATCCCCCCACCTCTTTCCATCCATCCATCCCGCCAGGTCCAGCCTGAAAAGAAACCCATGTCTGTCAATCACATCCAATTCATTCCCCAACCTTTCCTTTCTCCACCCCGCCCACCCCCACGACACACACTTATCTATTCCTGTTTATAATATTGTTAGGATGACAATGCGCTGCCCGTAATCAAGGCATGGCGCTGTGCGCGAGGCTATTAGCTCCAATTTGTTTACATGGGTCACACCGAGCCACAGATGCGTGCACAATGTCTGAATCCGATACATACCTTGCTTTGGCCGTTCTGTCGTAACTCCATCCTGCTCCTGCGCCCAAATCACCGAATCCTGTTCCCGGGTAATTTCTATCCATTTATGCCTTGTACACAAGCGCGAGCGACGGTGGATGAAAGCGACGAGAACGTAGCAGGGGTGAGGTTTAAAAAAAAAGAAAAAAGAAAAATCCAGTCTTTCCCGTTTTCAAGCTATTTTTCCCGGTTTCATAGGCAAGTCCTCAGGAGTGGAAAACAGCATATTGAAAGAGAAATGGTGGGGAGGAGGAGAAAGCTGGATGAAAAAAGAGAGGGGGGTCTACGGGGTTATAATCCAACCACCTCCAAAAAAAGAAGCCAGTCTTTCTCCTTTTCCTGCGCCTCTCACATTTATCATTTCCTCGAATGCAGATTTGGTCTGAAATCAGTCACGGTCATGATGAGGAGAGGATTCGGTCGGTGATGGGCGAATTGCTTTCAAACATTTGACTTGAACGCGTCCCTTTTTTCTCCGTCTCTCCTCCCCTTTCTTCGGGCTAGTTTTGGCTATGCTGCTAGCTCTAGAAAAGATAGCGATCGGGGCCGCGTTGGTTGCAAATCATTCCCCATAGGCGAGCAAAGAAAGCCCCAATTTGAAAATCTCTTTTCTTTTCTTTTTTTTTCTTCTCTCTGTCTCTGCATGCAAATCGTTCCCACCCCCTCCACGGAGCGGAGCTAAGGGTTAGCTGCAGATGCTAGCTGTCAGCAACGACGCATCAAAATAAAACTGGGCTGCTATTATTTCCCCAAATACGCTCGCCCCTTTTTTTGTTCTTTAACAGCCATTCGACTAAACGCCACGACAAAGCCGCTCACTTTAGATAAAACGACGCCAGAATGAGGAAATATCCTAAAATCCGAACAAGGAAGTGTAAAGAAACAGGCCGCGTTTTAATAATTTTTACTCATTTTCCTCCGGAGACGCCATTTTTGAAGGCGGATAGCCGCTGTCCGTCCTCCCTCTCCCCCTCCGTGTCTCACTCCGTGTCTGCTGTGACCTCCATTCACCGGTGGTGTTATCAGTCTGCCAAATACTCCTGCTTGCTTTTCCAGACACTCATTTTTTTTTAACGGGTTAACTATAAATACACACAAAAGAGTCACCAATTCGCCCCGCGCGCAGCGATTTGCCGTGATGCATTCAAGTGCACACAGAAAAAAATCCCGATTTAAAACCTGATTCACTGGCGCGCGTTATGTCGCAAAATCACTTCCAGATTTATGTGTAAAAAAAATTAAACTAAAAGCTATCGTTTGCTTGACAGGAAAATAAATGTTCATGCTTTTAGTGAAATAATTTAGTAGATTAATAAGGTCGTGTTTGTAATTACATTCTATTACAATTTGCATACAAGCCCTGAGTGACCCAAAGAGTCGCGGCATTTGTCGCGTCTTCCAACCTAAAATAATAATCCAGTATATAATTTAAGATATATAAATTCATCACAAAGTTATAAAGTCAACAGCATAGGTGAAAATATTCAAAATGACCTAATTTATACACAAATGCCAATAAAAGGATGCAAAAATGACAAAAACAAGGAACAATTATAGCAAAGGTGCACAATAGTGAAAATAGAACACTAGCTAAAAATGGAAATTTACTCAAATCAGAATGATTAGATCATAGTGTGAAATAAACTATAAAAATCTGCATTAAAAAAAAAGAAGTGGCTAAAAACACTGGAACATAAAGAGCACATATGAAACAAATGAGCCACATTCATATTACTGTAGTTATTATCTGATGTGGAACAGCTGCATAATAATATCTGATTTGTTCTGAATTTATTTGAATTTGTGTATTTTAGTTTTTGGCTCAAATAGCAGATTCCATTCTGCATACTTGCATGTCTACCTCATGTTCACTTATTAAAATAGCAACAGTTTATATCCTTTTAGCTAAACTTATTTGGAGGACCTGTCTGCCAAGAGTCATGTGCGCATAATTGTTCACGCCAGCAGATGGCACACTGGCTTTTATAACTAAAAGAAAGAAGTGGTCAGTGCACTCAGAGGTTAAGAAGATGCTTTGCTCCTGGTTGATGAATTACAAGGTTAAGTCAGATCCTCTGGACAGGTTCTTCTTTGTTGAAACATTTTGTCTTTTATTCAAAGGACTTCTTCAGTCTGAGGCGCTGTAACAAACACTCTTATAAATAGCACAGTTCTCATCGTGGATCAACCAGTTTGCTGCTGACAGTCAGATCTAGCGTGTTCTGATTAACGCCACGATACACGGTGAACACATGTAAAAGGAGGACCATCAGCATAACAATTGGTGCCCTGATGGCCGCTTGTTACTCTCAAAGGGCTGAGTTCAGGTTTGGTTTATTTGTCATATGTAAAATCAACACAAGGTCAACAATACAATGAAATGTGCAGGATGAGAAGAATCGTCTCGAGTACGGTCCATGCATGCAGATGGAGGATCCTGTTAGCAGCGTTAGCAGGTCTCGCTAGCATTTCCCGTCGGCAGCTTGATGGTTGAGTGATATTTGCAACAGCAGTTGAACACGGAGGCCTCCGCCCCTGTTTAATTATGGACAGGTTCTCTTCACAAAGATGGCCTCCTTTACTCCTCTTTCAAACCCTCGTTCCTCTCTACCAAAGATGTGAACATCTTCATCCCTGAAAGAGTCAGTGCTGGCCTCCAGATGAGTGGACCGCAGAGTCCTGACCGGATGATGTTTCTCGTCTGTGCTGGGCCATCAGGGCAATTCAAAAAAGGTCAAGACATAAACCTTTTTTTTTTTTTTTTTGTCAGGACAAAAAAAAACTGTAATCTTAGATCAGTTTTCAGAAACTTACAATGCAGCTTTGGGCCTGATACTCCGTCATTTTCACACCTATCAGGAAGAGTGGTCAGACTAACAAAGACTCTAATGAACCCCTATTGTGAGGCGTGATAGGGCAATCTGCATATGTATCTAGCTTTATAACTCGAACCCCACACTCTCTATTCTTTGAATTGAGAAAGCTCCTCAGAAGAGAAGCGAAATGTCTTCTGTTACAAATAAAGTCCAGTTGTTTTTGTCTTGAACTTTTTTGAATTGACCTTATCCTGGATGACTGAGAATCTTCACCAGCGTATGGCCATCAGGGCACCTGTTGTTAGGCTGATGGTCCTCCTTTTACAAGTGAACAGCAGCAAACTGCTTGATCCACTATGAGGAGGTGCTGTTTATAAGACTGAGTTTGTTGCTGCTCCTCAGACTGAAGAAAACTTTTGGATAAAAGACGAAACGCTTCAACAAAGAAGAATCCAGCGGACCTGACTTAACCTTGTTAGAATTTTCTACTTAGATTATTGAGCATGCATCGGGATGTTAATAGTTAGACCAATATTATTACATGCAATTAGGTCTAAATACACAAATGAAGTAAAAGACAGAAAAAAGGGAGATATAAACGTGTCATAAAAGGTACAGGAGCTGCTGAATGACTGAGGATTGCTGAGATCAACCTTCCTGGCCCATTTGCCTTCACATTGTGTCAGGTTTTGTCGCTCTCTAGTGGAGATTCATTCTGATTAAACTATTGAGACAGTTGTATTTATTTAAAAATTTAGACTTGTTAAGCAAAATGCACGTCATTTTATTCAAACTGTAATTATTTATTGGTGGATTTAAAGTGTGTGTTTATGCTAACTGCACTTCAACTTTAAAAGAGTAAACTGGATGTGTATGGCTACAATGTTCACAAGAGATTGGAATTTTTTCTTTATCGCATATTATTATTTTTTTTTCAAATTACTCCTTGCTATTTTTTGACAGCTTTTGCTCAATGTGAGTTTTTATAGTTAATTTAAAAAAAATCTACTGTAATCAGCTCGACATCTGTTTCAAACAAAATTAGGAGCCAATAAAAAGCTTTCTGCCCTCCTGTGGGAACATTTAGGATTCAATGCATCGTCAGATTTTAAAAGACACGAATTAAGGAATTTAACTATAATGAAATAGAAAGAGCAGGAGTGACACAAAACTTATTGGCAAAGCATCTCATAAACCAGATTTTAATGAAAACGTCAGGAAATAGTCATTGGATGTACGTCTACAACAGATTCACTTTTGGAGACAGCTCATTTCAAGATGGCAGCTACAGCTAATCATAGTTATCAATACAAAACATGGTCAAGTTTACAGATATTTAGCTAAATTTGATGTTGTAGCTGATTTTGCATGACACTGTTATGTTCAGCAAAACAGCTTTATCTCCTTTATTTTTCAACAGGAGATGATCTTAGTTTAAAAGTCATGAAGGGTAGTGAGCGATCTGCACTCCTCTAAAAACGCCTGTAATATTGTGAATGTTTATGAAGCATTCACACTATTGTGATCCATTTTTCTTCTTTACATTTTTCAGCATCTGTCTCATTCCACAATTCTATATTTTATAAAATCATATATCAAAATGTTTTCATCTCTTTCAGGACAATCCTGCTATGACTTTTGGTATTGGTACAATTTTAGCTTTTTGAAATATTTAGCCTTTTCTGCCACTTTTTTTCCTCATAGAAAATGAATTGAGCTCATTTTACATCCTTCAACTCTTTAGATCTGTTTACAACCTTTGACAGCTCCTTTCACATTTTGTTATGCTTCAGCTTCTTTCAGCTTCCTTGTGCAAATTTAAACTTTTTTCAGCTACTTTCAGCAACTTAAGCTGTTTTTTTTCAGCTGCTTTGTGATCCTTTCAGGTTCTTTCTACTAACTACAATCTTTTTGTACTTCTTCGAACTATTCTGCTAATTCCAGTTTCTTTTGCTCAATTCAGCTGATTTCTGCAAGTTTCAGCTTTTACTATAGCTTTGTCAGTTTATTCCACATTTTTTGCATAAATTTAAACTTTTTTTTCTACCTAATTCAGCAAAAATGTACTCTGTCCAACTCCTTCTGGTAATTCAAGCTTCTTTCTGCTTTTTCAGCTACTTTTCAGCTGATTTTTGATCATTTCAACTTTTTTCAGTTAATTTCTACTTTTTTGTGTTCATTTCTGCTTCCTACAGCCTAATTTGGCAAACCTGTGTTCTGCTAATTTAAGCTTGTTCTACCTGTTCAGCTACATTATTAGTATTTTCTAGCTAATTTCAGTTGTTTTCAGATAAATTCAAGTTTTTGTGGTAATTTCTGCTACTTTCAGCCAACTTCTTTCTGATCATTTCAGCTTGTTATACTCCTTTCAACTTAATTTTGCTCATTTCAGCCTTTTCTGCTATTTCAGTTACTATTTAGCTGTTTTTATGCTAATTTTAACTTTTCAACTAATTTTATATTTTTGAGCTCATTTCAACTCTTTCCACTTCCTTCTGGTGGTTTCTGCTTCTTTCTGCCTTTCAGCTACTTTTCAGCCTTTTTTTTGTTTGTTTTTGCTAATTTCAGCTTTGTCAGCTAATTTCCTAATTTTTCTGCTAATTTCTGCTTATTTAAACCAATTTCAGAAAATATGTATTCTTTCTGCTTTCTTCTGATAGATTAGGCTTGCTCTTCCACTTCAGCTACATTTCAGCATTTTTTTTTTTTAGCTAATTTCAGCAATTTCTCAGCAAGTTCTTCTGCAATAAGCATTCACACTGCATTTTCAGAGGAAATGCAATTTCTCCAGTTTCCTTTAGCTTTTGTAAAGTGTTATTACTGTCTTGCCTCCCTCCCGCTCCATGACTTTAATGTTTCCCTCCATCTCTCGAAGGTGTTCTCACTTGAATGCAGCTCTCGCAGCAGCTCTCTTCAGTCAAAATGCCTCACTTTGATGACGCTGTGCCGGCACCGTGCCAACTTATCAGGGAGGATGCTGACAGGTGGTGAGTTCCAACAGGAATGGTGCACACTTGAGTAAGAAATCTTGTTTTTATTACAAATCTGAGATTTTTTTTTCCTGCTATAACTGTGTGTATTATAAACTTGTCACATATATTCAAGATCAGTGACTTCAGCTGATGCTAGCTTTGCAGTAAATACTTTGTCAAGTATTTTACATAAAGTGCAGCAATTCGACATATTTATATAGTTTGTAATGTGCATGAATCAGATTGAAACCTTGGATGCTTGAGAGCTCAGGTTAAAGAGTTTTGTGTGTACGTTTCTGTGTTCCAGCATCAGAGAAAAGAAGGTGGAGGACTGCAAAGATCTAATTGATGCATTCCAGG